CTCATCCAGCTCTCCATGGACTGTCCCTGGGCCTGGCCGGACGCCCTCCAGGTGCTCTGCGGTAAGGGGCGGGGGGCTCCACGCACGATGTTGGGGGGCGCCACGGGGGTCCCGGGGTGCCACCCCCCCGGTGTGCCCCGCCGTGTCCCCGCAGCGCCGCGGCTCTGGGCGCTCTGCGTGCGCGACGTGCGCTGGCTGCGCAACCAGGTGGTGGCCCCGCTCAGCGAGGAGCTGGTGTTCCGCGCCTGCATGCTGCCCATGCTGCTGCCCTGCACGGGCGGCGCGCGCGCCCTGCTCGCCGGCCCGCTGCTCTTCGCCCTCGGTAAGTGCCCAGCGTGTCCCCAATGTGTCCCCATCGCGGTGTCCCCAACACGGTGTCACCCCGCGGTATCGTGTCCCCATCGCGGTGTCCCCACCGCTGCCCATGCTGCTGCCCTGCACGGGCGGCGCGCGCGCCCTGCTCGCCGGCCCGCTGCTCTTCGCCCTCGGTGAGTGTCCAGCGTGTCCCCAATGTGTCCCCAACGCGGTGTCCCCAACACGGTGTCACCCCGCGGTGTCGTGTCCCCATCGCGGTGTCCCCATCGCGGTGTCCCCATCACGGTGTCCCCACCGCTGCCCATGCTGCTGCCCTGCACGGGCGGCGCGCGCTGCTCGCCGGCCCGCTGCTCTTTGCCCTCGGTGAGTGTCTAGCGTGTCCCCACCGTGTCCCCAACGCGGTGTCACCCCGCGGTGTCGTGTCCCCATCGCGGTGTCCCCATCGCGGTGTCCCCACCGCTGCCCTGCACGGGCGGCGCGCGCGCCCTGCTCGCCGGCCCGCTGCTCTTTGCCCTCGGCGGGTCCCCAACACTGCGCGGTGTCCCCAACACGGTGTCCCCATGTGGTGTCCCCAACACGGTGTCCCCAACCCGCCCCGTCCCCGCAGCCCATTTCCACCACGTCATCGAGCAGCTCCGCTTCCGCCAGGGCTCCGTGGGCAGCATCTTGGTGGCAGCAGGTAGCGGGGGGACATGTGGGGACACGGGGGGACATGGGGGGACACGGGGGGACAGTGACGGACACGGGGGGACATGGGGGGACACGGGGGGACAGTGACGGGGATGGGGGCTGCCTCCTGCTGCTGCTTCTCCAGAGGGCCCCGTGAGGATGATGGGGGCACAGGGAGGGTGGCGGGGTGGGGGTGATGATGATGATGGTGGTGGTGGCGATGATGGGGGAGATGGGTGCGGGATGGGGGCGATGATGATGATGGGCAGATGGGAGCAGGATGATGACGAAGGGGGAGATGGCGGCAGGATGGGGACGACGATGATGAGGGAGCTGATGGGACGGGGACGATGATGAGGGAGATGACGGGATGGGGACGATGATGATGGGGGTGATGGCGGCGGGCCGGGGCGGCCGCCGGGGGGGCCGGGGACATTCCCGGGGACACCGGGGACGGGGGTGGCACCAGGGGTGACACAGACCCCCCCGGACCCCCCCTGCAGCCTTCCAGTTCTCCTACACGGCCGTGTTTGGCGCCTACACGGCCTTCATCTTCCTGCGCACAGGTGCGTGCGGCGGCCGCGCGGGGACACCGGGGACGCTCGTGTCACCCGTGTCACCCGTGTCCTGGTGTCACCGGTGTCCCTGGTGTCACCGGTGTCCACAATGTCCCCACTGTCCCGCAGGCCACGTGGCGGGCCCGGTGTCCCCAGTGTCCCCAATGTCCCCAGTGTCCCCAGTGTCCCCTGTCCCGCAGGCCACGTGGCGGGCCCGGTGTCCCCAGTGTCCCCAATGTCCCCAGTGTCCCCAATGTTCCCAGTGTCCCCTGTCCCGCAGGCCACCTGGTGTCCCCAGTGTCCCCAGTGTCCCCTGTCCCGCAGGCCACCTGGTGGGCCCGGTGTCCCCAGTGTCCCCAGTGTCCCCCATGTCCCTGTGTCCCCGCAGGCCACCTGGCGGGCCCGGTGTCCCCAATATCCCCAGTGTCCCCAGTGTCCCCTGTGTCCCCGCAGGCCACCTGGCGGGCCCGGTGTCCCCAGTGTCCCCGGTGTCCCCAGTGTCCCCAGTGTCCCCAATATCCCCAGTGTCCCCAGTGTCCCCTGTGTCCCCGCAGGCCACGTGGCGGGCCCGGTGTCCCCAGTGTCCCCGGTGTCCCCAGTGTCCCCCATGTCCCTGTGTCCCCGCAGGCCACCTGGCGGGCCCGGTGCTCTGTCACTCCTTCTGCAACTCGGTGGGCTTCCCGGCGCTGGGGGCGGCGCTGGGGCACCGGCGGCGCCGGGCGCTGCTGCCCTGCTACGCGCTGGGCGTGGGGCTCTTCGCGCTGCTGCTGCGCCCGCTCACGCAGCCGCGGCTCTTCGGGGCGCCCCCGGGGGGGCCCTGCTCCTGACCCCCCCGGGGACACCCCAAAACCCGGCTCTTCGGGGGGCCCTGCTCCTGACCCCCCCGGGGACACCCCAAAACCCGGCTCTTCGGGGCGCCCCCGGGGGGGCCCTG